GTTTGTTTTACAGCATGAAATGTCTGAATGACTGCTCATCCAACACTGGTGATTCCATACTTTTTGCCAGGGGTTGTAGTTAATGTTCACATTTTTTAGACTGAGTTTTTCCTCCACTAAATTCTGTTTTTAAATCATCAAGCTTAAGTTGCAAGCCACTAACCTTGAAGAGTTTTTGTGTATTTCTCTGTACTTGTTTATAGCTGCACTTGAAATGTCCAGTAAACGTTTTGAACAGCCTTATTGATCCCAATAATAAATTCTCTTTTCAACACGCCCCAGTGAGTCATTCATTCCCTACGCAATCACCACGAGGAACAAAATCCAGGCCCGACGGACAGTCATACCTTCCAAAACCTTTAGCACATCAGCTTTCAAAGAAAAGCTTTTTGACATCTCGCTAGGGTGCATTTCCCCACAATTTCCTCCGTTAAGAGCTGTCTTCTTCTTAAAGACCACTGGGTGTCGCTCCAGAGCGTCCAATACCGCCTCAGTGCGCTTATTCCCTCGAATATTACCCCCCTCTGCTCTTTACTGTGTGTGCGGGTGCGTTGTGTGTTGGATAGAAAGTCAGCCTGGTTTCCAGCTGAGTGCTTGCTCTCTCGCAGCGTGTGTGTGTGTGTGTGTGTGTGTGCGTGTGCGTGTGTGTGTTGTCATTATTATCCACTCTGCTCCCAGCTCAGAATGGCCAGATTCACTCAGACTGAAACAAGAAGGCAGCACCATCCACAGCAGTCCCAGCCCGCTCACTCCAGCCTGGTTTTCACCGGACCGGGGGCACCACCGACCCACCAACCATTCCTACTTCTCCCACATCAGCACCAGTACCCTCAGCTCACATTCCCGAAACCCATGAACGGGTCAGAACCCATTTCAATTCATCCGGAGAGCGGCAACATGAAAGACCAAGATGCCATTAAGCTGTTTATCGGGCAGATACCGAGGAACTTGGAGGAAAAAGACCTGAAACCCCTGTTTGAACAGTTTGGGAAAATCCACGAACTGACAGTTCTCAAGGACCGATACACCGGCATGCACAAAGGTAACGTGTCGCGCCACATACGGTCGCGAACACCGCTTTATAATTTCCTAATATCGTTTGTGATATTTAGCTTATGTCTTTTCTAATGCGCCTTTTACATTTTAATTTTTTTTTTTTTTTTTACATTTGGTCCAAACAATTTGTCAGTGAGAGGCTTCTATTATTCCTCCTGTTTCCCCCAATATTTTGAGATGTGTCTGTTACAACTCGATTTTTCAGCGTTTATATGTCAGAATACATCCTCCATTATTATGAGCGCTTCTCTTTCACAAACAATTCCTTACATTTTTTTTTTTTGGGGTAATCGAAGAGTGTTTCCTTGCGCTCCTAAAGTGGGGCAGAGGCGCTCGAAAAGGATGCATTTTTAAAGAGCCTTCCCTTGCCAGTTCCATCTTTTTTTTCCTTCTTTTTTTTTTTGTCTGCGGAGGGACGGCATCATTTATTCATTCACATGCTTTCTTTAACATCTCTTCGCGTGGGAGTGGGAGTTGGGGCCGGGCGCAGAGCCGTCACAGCTAAATCTGTGTAATTCTACAGTGTCTCCGAAGGGCGCAGGAACTGTCACAAGATGACGGACGCTGCCACGGAGATTGTGACGCCGACTGCTCTTGCCTCGGCTGAAGTGGGGAAGCCGAGGCCGGGAGCGGAGGGGATGTAAATTCACTCTGCCCACACTGTGCAGGCGACAGTGACAACTTCCATCCTCCTAAGGCCCAATCAAAGTTGTTTAGGAGGACATTACTGTGAGCTTATGTGTTCAGAGCAAACTCCCACGTCCACTCTACATGTTAGACGTCAAAATCAAATTTTCTTGTTTGAACTGGAATAGGTTAACAGAGGGAACTCGGCACAGGGAAAGCGAAACTACTTGGAATAATCTTTGGCATTTAGACTGTTCTGATAGTCATCCTTCCATTTGAATTTTCATCAATTCATACAGAGTTTAAGGCTTTTACAGGATCGCAGCTGCAATGGGAGCAAGGATACACCATCCATCCATCCATCCATCCATCCATCCATCCATCCATTATGCCTTGCATTGTAAGTTAGAGTGTTGTAGGTGTCTATCTCCAGTACATTGGGTGAGAGGCTGTGTACGCCCTGGACAGGCCTGCAGTTTATCACAGAGCTGCCCAAAGGCCCCCCAGGTCAAACAACCATGCATGCACACTCTCACAACTAAGGGTAGTTTAGAGTAATCAGTTAATCTATAACAATAATGTTTTTAGGGTTGTGAGAGAAACCTAGAATCCCTGTGACAGACCGGAAAGTCATTTTTAAAATTTCGTTTCATCTTTATTTAACCAGTGAAGTCCCATTGAGATTAAAAATCTCTCTTTTTTTAATTTAAAGAGAGTCCTGGTCAAGAGGCAGCAAAATGCCTGAATTTGAAGCCAGGACCTTCTTGCTGCAAGGCAACAGTACTAACAACTGCTCCACCGTGCAGCCCCGTGATGTTTATCACACCGACAATAAATTATTGACTTGACTTAAGAAGGGAGGCCCAGATATGCCCAGTGGCAGTCCACGGTTCATTCTGGGGGCTCACTCCCAAGGCTTTCTCTGGTCAGAGAAGATATACAGTTCATCCACTGGGCTCTGGGTCTGCCATTGGGTCTCATCTCAGTGGGACATGCCCTGAAAACCTATGAAGCAAGGCACCCGGGAGGAATCATGATCAGAGACCCCCCCCCCCCCCCAAAAAAAAAAAAAAAAAACTCAGCTGACTTCTTTTGATGTGGAGGAGCAGTGGCTCCTCTTAAAGCTCAAGTTCCCCCCCCCCATGTTCAACACTCTACAGGGAGGCTCATTTAAGTCTCCTGGATTTTGCCATTGTGGATATTATTCATACCTCATGACCACAGATGAGAGTCAAAACATAGACTGGGAGTTATAGGGGTGCACTAAAATAATGTTGTGTTTGCAGATGTGACTTGAATTCATCTGTTCACCTTCTGCACCGTCCTGTTATCACTTATAAGGAAGAAATCGAGATACTTAAACACCTCTGCTTGAGTCAGAGACTGGCCACTAGTCTGGATAGAGCAATTCAGCGTTTTCAGGTTGAAAGATGATTCAGATTTTGAGGAGCTAAAAACTCGGCCTATGTATTAACACATCATTTCAGATGATTGCATATGTCGCCTGCTGGGGAAAGACAAGAAGAATGATGTCCTTTGGGCAGCTGCAGAACTTTGATAGTGAAATATTTGCTACCACTATTTTTTCATAATTGGGTTACAGGTTTAAGGTGGTACACACTTTGAAACTTAATGGTACCCACTTTGCAAACATTGATTATTTGTGGTCTGAGAAGTTGCTGTCAAAAGGTGAAAGTTAGATTAAGCGAGATTTGTGAGTCTGTCCAGAAACGCCACGGAACAGTCGTACCGAGTCCCTCGTTTCATTCGGATACGAAAGGTTGAAGCTGAATACCACCATCATACCCTTTATTTCCCTGCTGAAATGTGAGGCAATATTTGATGTCAGTTTGTAGAAAAGAAAGATTTATTTTTTCAATGTAGCCTTCATTTGCCATCCGTGGGCATGTGTTTATTTTATGTGTGTGTGTGTGTGTGTGTGTGTGCGCGTGTGTATGCTCTACAATATCATTGCCTGGAGTTGCGTAATGATTGCAGTATTTGGCTGCTGAGTAAATTTTGTCCAAAAAAAAGGTTCAGGCTGTTATACATGCAGCTCGACACTTATATATATATATATATATATATATATATATATATATATATATATATATATATATATATATATATATATATATATATATATATAAAATGGGTGCCATTTTCCAATTAACACAATGAGTAGTTTGCTTGATTATTTTTGTGTTTTGACAGGGTTTTCTCTGATTTCTTATTTCTGTCATTTAGATGTGTAATTTTGTTTATTAACAAACAAACGTGGCATATTTAAATAAAATATATGAAGAGAAAGATATTGAGTTGAGGTCATCTCCCCGATTTAATGCAACATATAATTTCAAATCTACTTTTCAAACTGAATATTTATCCCATTCAGAAGCTTGCAAACAACTAATTAATACAAGATAAGTAGGGTTCATCAAATTAAATGTCTTAGAATGTAATGATGCCTGGCCACACAATTAACAATACACAATCAAACCCTAATATGTCAGTGATCTTTCAGAGTTAATCATGCTATTAGGCAGAATGGGATTATGGAGCATGCATCCTGACGGAGAGACAGGGACAGCGTCCTCTCTAAGAGGTGCATTAACTCCGACAATCACTCAGACGGACAGTGCTAGATGCACAAATTTGTTTTCATTATCCTAAACGCTGTGCGTTCTGTCATTTTGATTTTTGTTTCATTCCCGATGCACTCTCCATATTTATTATTTTCCTTTCATCTTGTTTTTTTTTTTTTTTTCTTTATGCAACTATTTTTCCTCTTGGTAATCCATGGGGGAAAACATGGAATTAGTTTGCAAAGCGTGATAATAATGCATGGCCATAATAACTTGACTCAAGAGGATTAGCAAATGTGCATTGTCTGAAGCAGCGGTCTCCTGGGTGATCACTTGGTTGCCTCCCTAAACAGTCGCTGCCTCTCCCAATTAAAAATTCAGTCCAGTCTGCCTCTTCAAATGATTAATTCTACCCACGCTGTCAATGGCCTGCCAATTGTTGTCGCCCAACCGGTATTAATAGGTAGAGGATTTCCTGATGTTGAATTTATCACACGGTGGAAACTTCTCCCTTTGGCTCTAATTAGCTTATGTTTATAGCACATGCAGAGCACACTCTTAGACATTTATGCACATGCATATATATGCGGAACTAAGGTTGTTTTTTTTTAAGCATTCTGGATCCTCAACCTCCTTCCTTTCTTTTTTTTTTTCTTCCCTCGTTTGCATCTGTTTTGTTTATTTCACCAATTTACTATCCCTGCCATGAAAAAGCGGATGCATTTATGGAAAGCAAACGTCTCTGGACAGATTATGCCCCACGAGCTCCCCTCATGCAGTTAAGTAACACGCAATCAAATCAGAGTGAAAGAGCATACGTGATTCGCCTCAGCAGACAGACAGACAAACCTTCCCAGAGTTGCTCCCATTTGCTGGCCGAGGCAAACCTGATATCAATATTAAGCTTGTGTCGGCTATCATTCTGTTAATGCATTTATAAATGGAGATATTGCCGTAGACCACAGCCAAGCAGAAGCATATTAAATCACGGAATAATCTGATGAAATATTTATTCAAGTTTTTATTTTTCCCCCCCTCCTCCTCCGAGCGAGTCTGATAGATAGGGTTTCTCAGCGATTTGCTCCCTGAAAAGACAGAGAAATAACAGAATAATTTCCACACATTATATTTGCCAAAACCACATAATAGGGTATTTTGAGAATGCAGTTATAAGTTTGCACAAAGGAGTTTTGTGGACTGAGGCTCTAGTTTTTTTTTTGTTTTTTTTTTAAAGCAACCTTTCTATCTTTAATAACAAATCTGAATCCATGTTCTTGTCCATAATGTGTGCGCCTTATGGTAAGTGTCAAAGATCATTGTAGTGTTGTAGGACAGCATCTCCCCCCCTCCCCCCGAGGAAACAGATGGGGCAAACTCACAGATCATAAATAAAACTGTAGATGTGGCATAGATGGTCCATGCACCTTGCATAAAGGCACTGTTGCGTTGTATTAATTATGTAATGTATTACTGAAACAGGTGTGTCTTAGAACAGGGTTTTGTATTTCGCTGAATCACGTCTGAACTTCAGAAGCATTCTCACTCAGGCTCAGATCTGCCCGTAGCAGCCGTGTGGCATAAATACTTGTGTGCATGTATGTGCGAAAGCCTATATGTCTGTCACTATACTGTATGTTAATATTTCACATAGGCTGCTGCAAAGGAAGCAGGTTGATTGGAGGGGACAGACGGCAGTCTCTGTACACCAAGACAACCAAGTTGCAAAGCAAAAGTTAATATTTAATTCAGATTTATTCAAGCTACTCCTTGTTTC